GATTTGTGAATAGATCTATTCGGGACTGACAATCCTACACCCGAACTGCTAGCTACAGTTGGGCAGGCATGCCCAGGGTGACAAATGTCATTTAACTCGACGCCTGAAGAACGTTGGAAAGGTCTCTAGTCATATCAAGTATGGTTATACGTCTCACATTATGTATAATTCCCTTTAGTTTACAACCTGTCACCCTTCAACAGTTTTATTTATACTAAATAGAACTAACACACTACGTATAAAGGCTGGAGCCAGGGTTTCAACCAAAATCGTTTATGCAAGGATTTCATATACAATATACTTATACTTCATGATTAGCCTTAACTAGTCACATGAAGTAGTATTTTCACATATCTCTACAGTTTTCAGTAACGAACATTCATGGTTTATATGGAACGGATAACGCTACATTTTTCACTTAAAGAAAATATCGGATTTTCTTGACTCTATACAAAATACTTTTTACGAGTTCATCAACAAGTTTTCATTACAAACTACCGCTTATGAACTCACCAGCTTTATGCTGATATTTTCAAACTGCTTGTATTCTCAGGAAATCAGTAGACAGGTACCTGCTGGAATTTTTGAGAAGCTGGAGCAATAAGTGTCTGATGTTTATATTTTATATATACTCTCTGATGTAATTCAAACAAGTTTCAAATTGATGTAAACATCTTCATATATGTATACACTGTGATGGTTGTGTTGCTATGGTTGCTATTTTACATTGGTTGTGATGCTATACATGACGTCCTCCGCCCCAGAATGATTCCGCCATCACGGTTTCGGGGTGTGACAATATGCAGTCACACTGGTAACTATTTTGTTGTGTAACTAACCCATTAGCTACATGCTAACAACTTCGGTTGACTTTTCACTCCAACTTTGACTTCTGTTTGACCTCTTTGACTATTTTGTTTTCTTTTCTTCTAGTATATCATATATGTCTGTAGTAGAGTATTGTTGAAAACAACCAGCATATTGAATTGTGGAATATATACAAAGGATATATTGTATACTACTTCTAGTTTAAGAAGGACAATTGGGAATTGTTTATAGTTATGGCAAGAGGTGCACCATTAATCAGGTGATACATGGAAATTGCAGCCCTAGGTACATGAGGTGCACCATTAATCAGGTGATACATGTTGTCTTAATGTCTTTCATTTTCATCTACTTTTCTTGTGAAATGTTTTAATGTAAGATTGATTTTGTTGTTGTTTGTTTAGATTCCTTGCACTTCAGATCTTTTAAACACATCTGGAATACAATTGGCTTTATTGGTTCAGCCATTTGATTTATATGTATTAATTAATTAATACATATAAATTAAAATATCACGTCTACATTTAATTTCTATACATCAAAAAACAGTATTCACAACTTATAAATCATGAGCCAAAACACCTAAATTAACTAACAATTAAAATTCTCAGTTTTGGACCCAAAACAGCCACTGTTTAAAGCTGTTTTAGCACACTTGAAACCTGTATAACTTCCGTTTTTATTTCATATTCCAGAAGTTCAGACTTTTATCTTTTCATAATGTACTTTTGAAGGTCCAAACGATGTTTCTACAATTTTATATGATTTTTACAAAACTGCCTATCAATGCAGCTAAATTCTGACCAGCTGGTGAAAAATGTGATTTTCACCTAAGTTAGAAGCAACAACATGTTATGAAAAAATTAATGGATAAACTAGATTCAAAATGGAAACTTTGAAAGTTTACGGATCATTAATTCGATTCCTAGTGATTTTTCTATAATTTTTCCAATATAGGGACAGATTTGTAATTTTTGCTGAATTTTTCAGCTTTAGATTTCAAAGGCTTTTTGACCACTTAACAGATTAAGCCATCACTAAGAACACCCATAAGGGTAAAAATTAGCCTCTTAACAGACGTGGCATGTCAAACAATAAAAATATCAATCCCACTCACAACCCACTCATCAAGGTACAAAATATTTGGTGGAAAACAAGTAGGTTGCACAAATAGGAACTTGGATTTCTTCCACAACCAATTCTCATAGAAGGACTTTGAAAGCTTGTTTTGAGGCTTATTTGGTGACTCAAAACATGATTTAATCTAAACAAACAACAACAAAATCATGAGCTCTTGTTTTATTTTTTTCTTTCTCTGTCTCTATTGTGGTTTGTGAGTATGCAGAAAGCAATTTTTCTTACTCCTTGGACATGCTTGAGGATAAAAGTTTAAAAATAGAAGATGATTATGACTTGCCATCATGGTCAGGTGATGAACGTGGTGTCAGGGTTCTTATGAATGTTGATAGCTTTGGTGCTGTTGGAGATGGACTTTCTGATGACTCAAAGGTGAATATATATATATATATATATATATATATATATATTATATATATATATATATCTATATATATATAGTCTTTCTTGAGTGTATTGATGAAGTCATTAAGGGGATTCTTTTTATTTTCATGTATGTTACATAACAGGCATTTGGAGATGCATGGAAGGAAGCATGTTTTACAGATTGCATTCACGGGAAGCAATGAAATATAAAATGATATATGCATGAGAACTCAACTGTAAAAAATGGAGAACAAGACTTGGAAGAAGAACAAGGGATCTCCATGTCGATATGATTCAAAGTGTCATCCAATAACTCTTTCTCAGGTCAATCATAATTGATAATGGTTCATGTTCGAATTTTCTTGAATTTTTGTATTTGTCTGAATAATGGTGTGACGGTTATAAGTAAAGCACATGTAATTCATATGTGAATTACATGTGATTCACATGTAAATCACATATGAATTACATATGATTCACATGTAATTATGAATTACATGTAAATCACATAAGAATTACCATGTGAATTCACATGTAATTCACACATGATTCATATAAATCACATGTAATTCACATATGAATTACGTGTGATTCACATGTAAATCACAAGTGATTCACATATGAATTACATGTCATTCACATGTAATTCACATATGAATTACATGTAATTCACATATGAATTACATGTAATTCACATATGAATTACATGTAATTCACATATGATTCACTTGTGATTCACATGTAAATCACAAGTGAATCACATGATTACATGTGATTCACATGTAAATCACTAGTGAATCACATTGAATTACATGTGATTTACATGTATATAATATCTAATTCACATATGAATTACATGTGTTCACAGTAAATCACATGTGATTCACATATAAATCACTAGTGAATCACTATGAATTACATGTGATTTACATGTATATAATATCTAATTCACATATGAATTACATGTGATTCACATGTAAATCACATGTAATGCATATATGATTCACATATAAATTACATGTAATTCACATATTAATCACATGTAATTCACATGTAAATCACAAGTGAATCACATATCAGTTACATGTGATTCACATGTAAATCACAAGTGAATAATATATGAATTACATGTGATTCACATGTAAATCACTAGTGAATCACATATGAATTACGTCAATATGCACACATACATTTTGTGTGAGTGGTCTTTGTTAATTATTTTTTTTAATTTTTCTTGTGAATTTCACATTTGAATCTTAAAAGATACAATCACATGTGAATATCACATTATATAATCACATTTGAATCTTACATGATATAATCACATGTGAATCTTACATGATATATACTTGTGCATTTTTCTGAGTGTTCTTGCATTAATCAATTTTTTTTAAAACTTTCTTGTAGGTTTTGAAGAATTTGTTGAAAATATTAAACAGGTGAAAAGTGATAAATTGAAGAACAATATGGAAATCTTGATATGAAGAAATGATAACACCGTGAATATTTGTAGTTTTTTTATATTTTATTTTGTATCGAATAAAATACTTGTATTATGTTTATAGATTGATTAATAAAAATGAGATTTTTTATAATTTACTTACGAATATTATAGTATAAGAAATATGCATATATGCATTTAAAAAATATGCATATATGCCCCTAAAACGTTGGATTTTTTTTTTGTTAAAAAAATGCAGTTTTGAAAAAAATTGCACTTTTTTATAAAAGTCGCAATTTTTTTTTTTTTTGAAAAAAATGCAGTTTTTTGAAAAAAAAATATAATTTTTTTCTAGAAAAAATGCAGTTGTTTTTGAAAAAAGATGCAGTTTTTCAAAAAAATATTTTTTTTAATTTTTTTTGAAAAATTCATGTTTTTTGAAAAAAATTAAAAAATCTTCATTTTTTAAAAAAAATCGAAAATTATTTTTTTTAAAAAAAATAAATCCAAAATTTTTAGTTACTTTGTTAATTTTTAGACATTTATATTAATATATTAAATAACACAAAAAAATTAAAACACTAAATGAGATAGGGAAGATGACGATCATGTCCTTAACGAATTACTTTTGATCCAACGCTCCACTTTTAGTTCTCGGGTTCTCGGGAAACTTTGAGTTCTCAACCGATCTCAATCCTTATAGATATTATATATATATAATATATATATATTATATGAATTTTGTATATGTGTATTGTTGAAGTAATTCTAATATAAATATTAACTTTCGATTAGTCATATATATTCATTACAATGTTATTATTCTATTATAAGCTTATGTACGTGTATTTTTGTAGTAAATTCTAATTTTAATTTTAACCTTTGACTATTCATTTATTCTTTGCTGAATAATGAGACATAAAATTGTCGATACAAATTCATTGCAGAATAATAACATAAAAAAGTGTTTTTCGTTCTTACACTATTACTGTTTTTAATTTGAACTGTCCTATATTATATATATATATATATATATATATATATATATATATATATATATATATAAACGAAAAAATAATTAGCTAGACAAGTCATTTTCCTGATTACATACCATTTAAGTCTAACTGTTAAACTGCGTCAATGACTATATTTTAATGTAATGTTTCACATAAAGCGAAACATTTTACATATACGCAACAATTAAAGTTAGCCCACTAAAACTTCTAAAAATGTAAACGTAACATCAGAGGCCAGCTGTACTCTTCCTCTTCCTCTTACGTGGTCTTCCAACTGATCTCTTCCCCACCTCTTTCCATACCACCTCCGCACGCGGCGTCCGTCCTACCGGTTCCCTAACCTCATCCGCCTGAACTTTTCCAGCTGGCTTCTTGGCCCGTACCTTCTTCTTCTCCACCTCCACACGCGGCGGCCGCCCTACCGGTCTCGTCAAAACCACAGTCGCCGGAACTTTACGGGCTTGCACCTTTTTCTTCGCCACCACCTCAGCTGCCTGAACTTTTCCGGCTGGGTGTTTCTTGGTGATGGTTTCTATAAGTAATTTGTCTTCGTTTTTCAGGAACTTGAAGACGCATTCATCTCCTTCTGATAAGTTATTCAGTCGCCAGAAATCACTCCAAACTGAAGACAAATAGTACCTTGTACACACCTTGCTCTCTGAACGAAAACTCATCTGCCACTCTTTTCCGGCAGGATTCCTCATGGTTATGCTTCTTCCCACATCGATTCCGGCCAACCGCACAAATTCCGACGGGACCCGCTGATATATGCAAACAAAAGTTACATCTCTTTTTAGAACGCATAAATCTGAAAGATTAAGAAGAAATTATGTTAGTTATAGCACAACGAATCTTACCATACAACATTTGTGGCCTTGAGATATAATCATCTTAACGAAAGGATCTCCAACACCATCATCATCCCCGCGGATCTCACCACAGCCATCTTCATCATCTTCTTCATCGCCATCACTACCAACACCATGATCACCAGCACCATTATTATCTTCTTCTTCTTCTTCTTCTTCTTCTTCTTCTTCCCTCCTCCTCTACTTCTTCTATTTCTTCTTGTTCTTTACCATTCTTTTCAGGGATTTCTGAGGGCAAAAATTTTTCACACCCATTGGGACCGAAACTTGTAAGTGTGAAGGTGGATTCATCAACTAGCGAAAATACAAGAAAATCCCATAAACCCAACTGGCTATCTGCAACTACATTGTTCCATCCATCTGCAAAACAGTGGATTCCATCAATGTTTTTGATCTTCACATTCCATGAATGCTCTCCAGTTACAGATCGGATTATCGAGCTCTCAGGGATCTTGTTCTCCATGTGATCACGGACAAAATCTGGTGGTAGTGCCTGCAAAATACCACGATTTCATGAATGGAATCAACAGAACAGAAAAAACAGAAATTAACTCGAGTACTGCGAGAAGAAGATGAGTACTATGTGAGAGGCAGCGGATGGGTCCTGCAAGATCTTCAAGAAAGAAGGCTGGTGACGAGTGGCCATTTGCAGACTTCTAGGCCCCGAATCCTAGGTTTTGATACTACAAAATATTAGATTAAAATGTTGAAAATGGAGTATGTAGGAAAACGCCAAAGGAGATGATACTACATGAGCAAACTGATACTGATGTGTTGTAGAAACAGAGTATTTGTTTGAAATTTTTTATTAATATTCTATACAAAGGAGAATAGATACCGAAAATTAATACAAACAACGCAACTGGGTTTGTTTTTGAAAACCCTATTTTTTTCACAAAGCTTTTTTCAAGTTCATCTATGGCGGATATTACTTCCTCGAATGAATAAATACTTTCTTGCCCCAAAATAATCATCGATAGCGACTTCATTCAAGCCATGATAGACCGGTGGTTTGAATTTAACGTACTAAAAAATCAAAACAGGTAAAATGATAAAACGTGTTACCTGGACAAGGATAAAGAGAGGTCGTTTGCGGATGAATGTGTTGCTCGCCGGCAATCACAACCGCCGCCGGAAGATTGGAGCTATGCGCCGGATTCCGTGAGAGAGACAATCGATAATTCAATTTTTTCAGAGAACTTCTTTGATCTCCACTTTTTTAACCAGAGTAAACAAATAGTGACTTCATTTTTTTACCTCGTTAAATACCCAACATACATATTTCTTTATATTATATATATATAATTATTTCTGAGACTCATATATTAAATGAATTAATTTTAAAAAAATAAATAAATATAAATGTTTAAATATTTGACAACTTTAAATTTATAATAAAATAAAAAAAATAATAAATTATTATAATAAAAATATATTTTATTTTTAAAATTTAAATAAAAAAAAGAAACTAATAAGATTTAATTTTAGGAATTTTAAAACTAAAAGTTAAATTTAAGGTGGTGCTAAAAAACCCGCTTTGGGGTTTTAATTATATTGTTTTTTGTGAAAAAATTAAATCTAATAATTAGTCAAATCAATTTTAGTTGTCAATCATAATTAAATATATTTTATTTATAACTTATTATTTTAGTATTAATAAATTTGTTTTCTTAATATATATAGAAAAAACATCATAAATGGTCCATGTGGTTTCCCAAAATTTGAAGTTTAGTCCTCGTGGTTTAAAAACGTCATAGATGGTCCCTGTGCTTTCAAAACTTTTGACGATTGGTCCTTATTGCTAACTCTGTTAAGTTTGTCCGTTAACTAAAAGACATTTTCGTCTTTTCAAGATCAGAGGGACTATTTATGAGGTTTTCACTTATTTTAAAAAAAAATGAAATAATGAAATAAGATGCAAAGGGGGTCCCACCCTCTCTCTCTCTCTCTCTCTCTCAAGCCCTCTTTTCCTCTCGTTCTGATATCACCAACCACCACCACCGTGTTTCTTACTCTTTGCTGTTGATCGGAGCTAGCCAAGCACTTTCACATAATAACAAAAAAGGGTTTAAGGCAAATATGGATCGTAACAACTAAAAACTCTCCTTGGCATTTTAACAAACACTTTGTGTGCATATTTCAGTGAACTAAAAATTGATAAACATGATAACTTTTGCAGTATATGAAGAACAAGAGAGAAAGAGAGATGTCTCTGTCATTTTTAAACTCGTGTGAATCGAGCACCAAGTACACCTCAAGAAAACTAGACCCACCCTTAACCTTCGAAGATCAAGACTGAGATGCCTTTTTTTCCTGTGCGCCTTTCTTCTCATCTGTACAGATTCAAATCACCACCCCTTCTTCCTTATGTTCTCCAATTGCATATTGAAAAGGATTATGGTGGTGTTTTGATGATTGACAATGAAACGGTATAGGAGAAGAGAGAATGATTTCAATAGAGATGATGGTCTTAATTCTTCACAGAGAAAAGATGCATGCCCTGGTTCTTGATTTAAAAACTTTGGTGAGATAGATACAACCATACAGGCGGTGGTCAAATTAGGAGGTGGAGGTGAAGATAGATTGTTGGGTCTATTAGTTTTGGTGAATCGGAGTCCTCACTGTGGCAGCGGGTGGTGGCGGCGTGCAATTGTAGTTCCACTGCCTTGCTCATTTGTTTTATGCCAACGTGAACTCAAAGGGAGTGGCGGTGAACGGTGACAGGTGGTCGGAGGGAGTTGGTCAGATGGAGCCACACAAGCAGTAACAGCAGCACACGGTGTTTGGCTAGCTCCGATCAACAGCAAAATAGTGAGAAACACGATGATGGTGGTTGGTGATATAAGAACGAGAGGAAGAGAGGAGTTGAGAGAGAGAGAGAGGGTGGGACCCCCTTTGCATCTTATTTCATTTTTTCATTTTTTTTAAATAAGTGAAAACATCATAAATGGTCCCTGTGATCGTGAAAAGACGAAAATGTCCTTTAGTTAACGGACAAACTTAACGGAGTTAGCAATAAGGACCAATCGTCAAAAGTTTTGAAAGCACAGGGACCATCTATGACGTTTTTAAACCACGGGGACTAAACTTCAGATTTTGGGAAACCACATGGACCATTTATGATGTTTTTTCTAATATATATATATATATATATATATATATATATATATATATTAGTTATAAATAATATTTTTTACCCAAAATATTTTTTATTATATTGGTTGAATTATTAAATTTTATGACTAATATAATTATAATTTTTTTATTTATATTTTATGTTATTATAAAAATAAATTTTAAATTTTAAAGTCTAAAGCAAACATTTTTTGTAAATCAAACTTTGTTACTGTTTGAGATTTTTTAGTGTTATAATTTTATTTTATTTTCTTGTGCTATGTTGAGTCAACAAAATGTTATAAAAATATTTAAATTTAATAATATATATACTTGTAGTTTTAAAAAATGAAATGATTTGATTTTGTTTGGATGTGTGTAAAAAAGTGGAAAAATTATCTAGTTTGGATCATAGATTACTATGGAATTTTTGCATAACGATATATTATAGTGTTACGTAAAAAAAATATTAATTTACATATATATATATATATATATATATATATATATATATAAAAGTTATGAAAGATTTTAACACATTTTTTTTTGTCAATTTTGGTCCTCCAACTTACAACATTGACCCTTCATCTTTATGCTTTTGTTCACAAACAACCCTTTTACTTTGGTTTGAATTTTTCATAACCCTCGTCTTTTATTACATATTATTAGTATTTAGTCTTCTGGCAGAAATGGTCCCTCATCATTATTATTATTGTTAGACAAAATTACACGATTGGTCCCTGTGGTTTACCAGATTTAACATTCTCTTTTTGGTTTTATCAATACTATAAACTCACCCACCATCTGCCATCACCACCACCACCGCCGCCAAAATTACGTAAATGGTACATATGGTTTACCCATGGTGACAAATTCAGTCCATACTATCTGAAAAGACCAAACTACCCTCACATTAACGGACAAAAAGCAACAAACTTGCTACTTTACTTGACAAAGCAATACCTTCCGACCCCGGCAACGCCGGGGAATCTTTTCTAGTTAGATATTATAAACAAACAAAACATCATAAAAAAACAACACTACATCCGAACTAGTTTTTGAAGTGTAACCGTTTACGGATTCCGATTAGCCTATGCCTATGCATAACTCGAAACTTGTTTCAGATTAGCCAACAATTGTTTTCGGATTAAATAACTTATGTTTTTTCATGTTTCGAATTAGTATATAACCGTTTTCAAATTAAATAACCTAAGCTGTAAAGAAAGTTTCAGATTTCGATGATGAAATTTTTTAAAAGCGGGTTTCGGATAAACGAGCAAGACTTTTAATTAATCAATTCTAAAACAATCAAAAGGAAAAAAAATAAGATATTTTTTTTCATAAAGAGGGGAGCTATTTACAAAAATATTTAAGAAAAAATTGAAAACAAAAAAAAAATTGGAAAGATATCTAATTTAATCGGAAAAAAAATCAGAAATGTATAAATAAAAAATAAAATAAACTATATAATATGTTTAGTTAAATAATTTATATAATTGATTTAACAAAAAATAATTATTATTATTATAAACTAAATTGCAACAAAAATAATCATAAAAGAAAAAAACCATAAAAAATAAAAAGTTGATTCGGTAGACATGACGAGGGGGGTTTTTTAAGTCATGAGAGTTGTTTTTTTAAGAAACCTCTTAATAAAATAGAAAAACTCATAAAATAACATGTGGAAAAAAAATTACTTTTAAATAACTACAAAATGACATTTGGCAAATTGAATGAGAGTGTGACAAGTGGCAAAAAAAACTTTCATTTATTAGAAATGATAGTGATGTACTCGCGTAAAGCAGCGGCGAGTTATTTTGGACGGTTATTAATTCTTTTTGGTGATTAGAAGATTTAGCGATGAATAGTATAGTTAAATGAATAGTTTCTAAGAGGCAATTAGTTTTATTTCGGCATGTTGTTTTGGATTAAAAGTAAATTATTTCGGCATTTTGTTTTGGATTAAAATAAAAATATGTTATGACTGACAAGGCTATGTTTGGCATACTAGCTGAAAGTTAGCTGTAGCTGAAAAACTAGCTGTTAAATAAAAAACTATTTGATAGCTGATAAAAAATAACGTTTGATAAAACTAGCTGAAAAGTTAGCTGAAAAATATGAAATGACATAAAATGACATTTAAAAGAATGTGTTTTTATAATTAATTAAGGGGTATATTCGTAAAATATTAAAAAACTCCTAAAAAACTAGTCTGAGTAGCTTTTAAAAAAGCTAGCTTATAAGCTAATTTTTAGCTTACCAAACATGACAACTTAAAAAATCTTGAAAAATAAGCTAGCTGTGGCGCGCCAAACACAGCCTAAATAGTATGACTCCCAACTTTTTGAGAGAATAGATTGTGGATATAACACTATAGAATCAAACATGCACATCACTCACCGTCTTTTTTTTTGCATATTTTGATCATAGAATAAAACATGATTACATATCTACATAAAAAATCTTGCAAAAATTATAGTAATAACCATCATTGTATAAAAAAAAATGTTTGATTTGTGTCGATTCGAAAGATATATTAAAGTAAGAGTGTCCTGTCTTTTTTAGATGATTATTTTAAATTATTTTATCCAAAAAAGTTACACTATTATAAAAACCATAAAATTGTCATAAATAATATTCTAGTCGATGATGTTTGACTCACATAACCTTTTTAAGCCACAATTGGTTTTCTTTCTATAGGGTACGAACAATTTTGTTTTCAGTAGCAACAATAGTTACGATTAGTCTTATTATGATGAATAGTTTCAGCCCAAAAGGTTTTCATAAACCAAGTGATAAATCGTTCACGTTAAATATTAATTGCATTACATGTTTTAAAATTATATTATATAGTTAGAACATCAATGATTATAATATTTTTTCTTATATTGTTGCAAGTCATGTTAATGTTTTTTTTATTGGAATATGTTAAATTTTATAAACAAAATTATATGACATGTCCATTTCATTCATATACAAATCACGCATGTATCGTAAGAATCATGGATTATAAATTATACATTTCCTTATTTATTAAACTAAAACATAGATGTTCTCCAATATAAAAAGAAATACTTTTCCATTTTCGAGACTTCCACAAATATGACTGC